TGTACTCATGTAATCTATAAATGCCAACGATGGATAGGAATACTGGTTTATCTGTGCTTATATCGATTTTTAAACATAGGACATCCGCTGTCCGCATTCCAACTGAATCAATACAATGACCAGAAATGCGGTCTGATAAGTAAATGATCACGCCACCAGCTCTATAGTTATTATTACAATTTGCGTACGTTACATAACTGGATAAACTATATTTAGATATTTCGTGGTCTTCAATCCATACTTCAGTCAATACGACAATGTCAGGTTTTTTTGTTAAATTCTGGAATTTAACACAAAATAAATCGAAATTTTTTCTTACACTCCTTATATTTTGTTGGACTATAATAAGACCGGCACTACAAGTAGTAAAACTGTCATCTTCAAGAACCGTTGTCATAAGTTAAATAAAGACAATTTAAAAAATAAGCTAACATAAAAATTTACAAATCTAATTATATTTACAGAGACAACCATTTTTAAATGTTCGATACCTTAATCATCGGGATGACTAGAGCACATCTACTCAGCACCATCTGCGGAAGTCGTGGTGTCCGTGGTACTTGTCATGTCGTGTTGTGTGGATGGTGGCAAAGTACTTGTCGTGTCCTGTGGTGCCAGCTGTGGTGCGGATGGCGACGTACTTGTCGTGTCGTGGTCGTGTGGTGGTGGAGTGTCTGGGTTGCGTGGTCCAGTCGGGGACGCTGTTGCTGACGGGATGTTGCTGACGCTGGCGATGCGTACACTGCGTAGTTCTTCAATCTGCTCCTTTGACGTTATTACTTCTACCCTCGAATCCTCTTCAACTCGCAGAAGGATTTTTCCGTTTCGTACCCATACATACTGTACAAGTCCATCCTTCTTCAGTTGTCGTGCTGCGTTTAGGACCTGTCTCTTGGCCACGCTTAGACTCTCGTTCACATAGACTACCTCGGCTGGACCGGTCAAAAATCCAATGTCTTTTGTATTTAAGTTACGTTTAGCACGTCGTTTGGTCAACAGGTTTTCCTTTATCACTCGTCTGGTAAACTTGACCATGATCCCCCGAGATCTGTCACTGCCGCCGGCATTTTGTTTTGGTCCTAAGCGATGACATGCATCGATATCATTATCATTTATCTCTACACCCAGGCTACTACCGATCTTTTTCACTACCTCAATGACTTGTTCGCCATTCTGCTCAGGAATACCATTTACCTCTATACAATTGGATCTTGAGTATTGTTCCAGCTCTACAATGCGACTTTCTAAATCTTTTACTCTCTTTGTTAAGGCTAAGTTAGCTTGATTGATAGTTTCAAAGCGTTTTTCATAGTTTGTTATTACTTCTGATTGTTTATCAATTTTCTTTGAGAGTTCATTTATGTCATGATGACATCTTTCAACAGAGTTACCAAGATCAGTTTCTAAATTACGAATTTGTGCTTTGGATTCTTCACGCATTTCTTGAAGGAGATCAAATACAGCTTTTATACTCACATCTTCTTTCTCGAGCTGAGACTTCACCTGCATACTTTTCCTCCTCGTCACGGAACATGGGTCACATCGCCAAGCCTCGTTGTTGTCGTTTAGGTAGTCCAAATCTTCTTTAGACATTTTCACACAGGACGCATGATAAAGCGATGCACAGTCACAGCACTGAATTTTCAGGTGGCGAGATGTAATTGATTTTCGACATAATTTACATTTATCCGCCATTTCGTATATATTTGTTTTAAGATTGTTTAAACCGAGAAAAAAATAAAATTTTGAAACTAATAGGAAGCCTGCACACGATCGTCGAAATGCGATTTCAGAGTTCACTATCTTATCTCCGCGGAGGTCGGTGAAAGCACGTCCGTTCCCTTCGAGCTCTGTCCCATTACTGTGATACTGTCCCATATAGATCACCCATATAGAATAAAATTAATTAAATTTAAATAATTAAAATTAATCCCATATAGATTAAACTAAAACGATGAAAGCAAATTGTGTGTTGTAATAATCGAGCAAATACGTTGAAAACACGATCATTTAATAAATTATATAAACACACTTAATAAGAAGTATAATATACTTATTCAAATACTCGGACCTTCCGATAGAGAGGCAGAGGCAGTTCAAACGGTTTTAATAATTGAACATGTTTCTTACAAAAGTGACCTCGCGCAGTTAAAACCCATTTTATTTTATTACCGGTAATTGCTATTGTAAATTCTAATTTTTAGATAGGTCAAAATCAAATGTGAACCCCCAATAATCAGGATTATCCATTAAGTTTAGCTATCAAAGCGCATGTTTAACGGATATTTTAACTCGAGGTATTCTATTTATTTTAAACGTCCTTGACAATGTATTGATGTCACGAAATACGTCGGAAGTGAACAATTGCTAAAACATGAAAACATAGGGTTTTTTTTATTATTTTATCCCTCCTTTTGACAATGTACAGTACCTATTTTAAGAAAGTGGACTTTCCGTTGGTCAATTCAAAATTTTCGAAATCACACATAAAATACACCACTATTTTTGGCTTGGTAGCAGACTAGCAGTACCTTTGAAATTGGATATGTGTCTATTTAATTGGCACACAGTAAAACCCCAGAAAATATTTTGGAACCATATACCTCAAATAAAGTGCTTATGCATGTAAACAAATTCAAAAGGCACTAAAACAACCAACTGGCAACAAATTGCTCTGATGCTAGCAACTTGATGACGTCGATATTATTCAATAAGCTTACATTGCCATTATGCGCTCCCTTTGAAGGGCTGTTGTATAATAATCGGGATATTTATAAAATGCCAAAAAATATCATTCCTGATATACCAAATAAGTTTTAATTACACATTTGCATTAATTAATATTAGTACCGGGGGACCGAGAGCCATGGCTCGGTATAAGATATTTCGATTGTAAAAGCAATGTAAAGGAAACTCACGTTTTATTTGGAACTAATTTCGGCTTTTGTTTTTTAAGTTTCGGTGTAATTTCAATTTATTATGATGGAAATCTTAACCTGGCAATCCACAACACACACTAATTTATTTTACAATCGATGGTAAAAATAACTCATCAATTCAGACAAATGGAAATTCGCTTAGTCAGCAGGTTTGCTGCAGCGGGGGTATTTTTATCTCTTTTTCTTCTACCTGGTGGCGTTCTATGACTTTCCTATGTTTCCATGGTTAAAAATCGGTTCTTTCAATGTTAAGAATTACAGTACCGGTACCCTGTCAATTCATTTTTCTTATTTAGTAAAATATATCAAATTGCCCAGGCTTTCTCGATTTTTTACTAATAAATAACAGCAATTAAATTATACAGCTTATCAAAATGTAAACAATTATGTTCCTCATAAGGATAACACGGGAACTTTCAAAGCCACTGGGGCAGAGCCCAAGGGACTTTTTCAAATGTAAGGTCAGTTTGCAAATCTACGCGACACGCTCTTTCCAATGAGACGTCAATGGATAAAATCTGTTAAGAAATGGTCGGTTAGTAAAACTTTCATTGAAGGATTCGCATTATTCACATTCAAGGGAAACAAAAACCCATCTGAACAACATTAGGCCTCTACATTTGGCAATTCTGCATTTTTTCAGGTAAATATAACTTACGTTATAACAGTAGCTAGCCAAATTAATGCCAATTGAAGCAAATACAATTGTGACTGAGAGACTATGCAGAAAATCAGGCAGTTCTTAAGTAATGTAAACAAAATTTTATCGCTATAAAAAATGACTGAAATTTGTAAACGTACTGGCGACAATGGGTAGTACGTGGGTAGTACCATGCTGACTACATTATGATTGACGAAGATCAACATGGACAACCTAATGCGGCTATAAGCGGGAAACATTTGTAGAATACACTAAAACCAGATCAGATTTAGAAAAATGATCAAATATTTACAAGAAATGTTTATTATATGGAACTGTTAGGTACGTAATCTATGAGTCGAGTCTTTTAAACTCATCGGAAATTATGACTTTTCCTACAGTTACCTAACAATGTAGGCCTACATGTTCTCTCACTGATTTGAGAAAGCAAAGTGGACAATTCGCTCACCAGTGAGACAATGTTAACATTGTCTAACTCTAATTACTTTGTCTCACTCCAGATTTGTAACGTGAAGGCACGAAATAGTGAGCGCGTAACATGCAGACAAGGTCGCAAGCAAGCGAAATACGTTGGCAGCACTGGCTGTAAATCAGCTGGTCAGCTGTTGTACTGTTGTATCATGAAATGTCATATTAAAAGTTCATTTCTGTTTTAAAATATGTTACGTTTCTTTACCAATTTATTTGTTTCATGGTATCTGTAGGAAAAATATAATGTGCAACTCGAGTGCAAAGTGCAATTGCCTCACTCGAGAAACAATTCCTCACTCAACTACAAAGCATGGTGTCTTTAACATTTAAAACATCGAAAGTCGGCATGTATTAAGCAAAAGTTGTATTTTTGATTCAGCTTGAACAGTAAAAACAGTAAAAAAAGTTCACTGTTTTCTGGTATGCAAACCACTAAAACAAACAAAAAAATATCTAAACCTCAATAGTGTAGCATATGGTTGGAAAGCTTATAAAATGGCGCAGTTTTTAACATATTCCGACACTTTCTTGTATACAGGGTGTGAAAAATGCAATAGACCATTGTTTTTACAATTTTTATCAAATATCTTAATTTTTATCTTTGAATCTATTTACAATGGAGTTTTTACAACTGATCCTTCGTCATTTTCCATTATTCTTGTTCAAAATTTAATGTAGAACACGAAAATGACATTATCTACTCAAATCCATATACAGGTAATTGAGAAATCGCTGTATTAAGTTTAAAAGCATGGTTATTTTTGAAAAACATAAAATAATTTTTTGGGACGCTAATTTTGAGACTTGGAACATTTGATATGCATCATCACACTTCATTTACTTTGTACTTACATCAAAAAAATTTTGTCACACTGAGTACAAATCACCCTGTATAACCTGGCAGATGTATATAATGTTAGTGTACTAACCTGCATGTCGCGCTTAACTATGAAGCCCTTGTGTTCTTGATCGCCGAGTTTGAACAGCTGCATAGCGATGTCTTCCATGACGGCGGCGGCGTGGCTCTACTGACTGATGTACCTACCAGTACCACACTCAGTACCTAGCCGTAACCGATACCTTATCATCACGACCTCGACCGTCAACTTACAACTCCAGCTATCTCTCATCTCTTGTGCTGTGTAGGGTTTATGTTCCATGACAACCAATATAAGCTTAATTTTATTGCCGTGATAGATAAGAATGTTGAGTCATTCATGTACGTGGTAAATTTTTTTACATCATATAGTAGATAAAACGTAGATAGTTTTAATCTTTAGGGTATGGTCACGTTACAGAATGTGTTATTGCAAACCCCCGAATTATTAATAAGTCCTTGCAATCATAAAACACAGAATGAACACAAGTCTTTAATTGTCTAGGGATTTTCTGTAAATTGTAGTTATATTATCTCATACTATCTATCTTCTTTTTATCTCATCTCATCTTATCTTTTATAGGCTAGATATTAAAACGTGACAGGGATTTTTAATTTCACGATTCTGAATTAACCACTTGACGGATTTTAATGATTTTTGTGCTGAAAGAATTAAAGATAATTTTGAAAGGAAGGGAACGTTCATGCCATAATTTTGGTTTAGCGTTCCAGTTTGTTAGAAATTAAGTTTTAACTGTTTTAAAGTAGGAGCCGACGCTAACAATTTAAAGTAGTTTCAGTGGTATATTTATAGGCATGCACTGTGGATGAGATACTCCATTGTGTGGATTAACGCGCACTAGTGAGTTCTATGACTATCCAAGTGAATACTACGACTATCCACACTCCACAGTACTATCCTGATAATTAGACCAATTCGTTAATTACAAGGCAAAATTGTGGTCTTGATTCCACTATAATCTGTGGTCCGTTAGATGCCATTGGCTGTATGGGCTATTAATTAACCGTCCTGTCAAAGGAACATGTCATCCTTAGTCGGTAACGAGTGAAAATTTTGAAACGTACGTTTTCAGGAAAAGGACTTAAAAAATTTTTTGTTCCGTTTTTTGAAAATTTTATTATTTTTTTTTTTATTTCATTAACATTTGAAGTTTCATAAAATGTCCATGGTAACGCAATATCTTTGGTGATTTTTTATTAATAGAGCATCTTTGATGGAAAATCACCAAATTTTTTCACGACCATCACGGACATAAAACTGAATATTAAAAATAGTTAATATTATTTCTATAACTATGTTTTGCTATAAATTGATTTACTCTTATGGCCATTATACAATAAAGAGCTCACTAAGCTTTTGGTATATTTGGTTTTTCTAGAAAAAAATAAAAAACTCAAAAAATTGAAAAAGGCAATAAACATCTTTTTAAGTTTGCATAACTCCGAAAAAACTTACCTGAGACCCGAAAAATCGTTATGTTTTTATGGAGGTGTGCTTCTTTTGTGTATAAAACATTGAAATATGATATTTAAATTTTTGAAATTTATATGATAGAAATTATAAATGTGATGGTCAGGGACAAGCGGTACGGTCGTGAATTGTCTAGAATAATCTAAATCTTTCTAAACAATCCTTCAATTATACTGTTAGTTATAATAAAAATATGTGTTTCAATTGAACTAAACTGTTCAATTTACAACGATATTTAAGTTATTGTCACGACCAAACTCAGTATAATCCATAAGGCTGGATTAATCGTGAAAAAACCCGCGATGGTCGTGAAACTTTGGTCGTGACATTACGTGTTATTTGGCTCTATTCTGGCAGTAGCCCTGCACCTCATGTTTGAGGATACAAAGTGGACTTCTAGGTTAATCTAGCAATTGAAATTGTATCTTATAAACAAAAATTAACACCATGTCTACTTCATCAAATGACTACGTACGGTCATGGACACAACAAAATTACAAAAAACACAAACTTGCCTTTATTAATCTTGTAATTCCTCCTTTCAACTCGAAACGACCGGCACTACAATCCTGACGTACACCCCGAACTAGTCTCTAAAACCAACTGACTCCACCGACGCCAGGCTTGCCACTGTCGTGATCCAAAGTTGCAAATTTTTCCCTAATGGTCGTGACGTCAAATCGAGGGTTAGACCTATTTAGTCATGGTATCTCAGTCAGTTGACAATGAAAACAAAATTATCATATGCTCCTTTTTCGTAAGTTTAATAACTATTGATGTGATAAAAATATGACATTATATATTTCGGCATGAATAATTATTCTAAAAACAGCATGAAAGTTGCATAATGTACCCTAGGGACACGTGACGGTCGTGAGTTTCGAAACTTTAAAAATACGAAAAAAATACCTAGAACCTATTTAAAGCCAAATAAATGTGTGTAACATGTTGCCCCCGTCCCAAAAAATGTTAAAACACATAATGATAAACTACATATTTGGTATCTACGAAGTAAAAGGCAAGGGACATAAAAACGTATGTTTCAAAATTTTCACTCAAACAAGACTACAATATCGCGCCACTCATCCTTCTCTCATCTCTATTCATACTTGGCTTCAAATACCTACCCTCATATGGTCGCTATTTCAGTTTAAAGCATAAAAAGGATAATAGTGTAGTTTTGATTAAAGCCTTTTGATAAAGAGAAGTCAATCAAATCCGGAGTTTTCCTCGAATCGGACAATAAGTAGGTATAGGTTCACCTGTTGAAATATATTTTAATTTAGTGCGCTTATCATTGCTAACTATTAGCAACTGTCGACCTTGGTGTGGCCAATCATGAACCCCACTCTTGATGCTTAGCTTTGTGTTTGTAGTCTCCTCCAGAGATGAACTTAGCCCCAAGAGTAGGTAGTAAAAAATCTGTCAACATTTTCAGAAGTCATGCATTCCAAGTAAACTATTTAAATGTGGGGGTTTTAATTGGCATTTGGTGAGCATACAAGTCAAACTACCGGTTTCAATGAGTAAAGGGGAGAAAAATTCTCTGGGAGTAGCAGTTAAAAGTGTATCTTATTTTGGTTAAATTGCAAACTTTTACATTACAGAGTTGTTATTATTTCAGCGATCATATATCTATGGTTTGTAATAAAAATATTTTTCGTAAATTATAAAGTTATGTTAACGATATTGTTTTAACGATTAAACCCAATTAACCACAACTGAGCAAAGGCTCTGCCCCCGGTACTATGGATTAATCTTAACTAAACAACTAAAGCAATAAGAAAAAATATATTTATCCAACATATGTTCATATTTCTACAGATAATTTATATAGGCTACACAGATTATTATCACTACAAAACCTGATTATACGTGAGTGTTTAGTTCACTTTTCTCATTTACTGAAAATGCAAATACTGTACTTTACGGTAAGAAAAAACAACATTTTGTAAAAATATGTAATATCGTCGATCAATAGGCTTATTTTTGTAAACAAACAATTTGTTATGTAATCATTTTTGTGACATTTTGAAACCCACTGTTCGACCAAATTACATTGAAATATACTGTACTTAAAATAAACAGTTATTTATGTCGGCTAATAATATTTCATAAATAATAACTTGACATCTAAAATACCCCCGCCGCAGAAAACCTGCAGACTTAGCGAATTTCCATTTGCCTGATTGGATTTACACTAAAATGCCTCCTTAAAAATATCATATTTATTCCCTATTTAAATAGAATTAGTTTAACGAGTACTTAGGTTTGCTGCAACAGGGAGGGTAAAAGGTGGTTTTTTATGTTAATAGTTTAAATGGGTCCCGGACCTAGGTCTTACCATGAGACCTACGGTAATAGCTACTTCCTAATAGGGAAATTCGCTAAAATGGGTAACACTAGGTATTAAAATATCAGCAATTAGAAAACGAGAACTTCATTGGGAATCAAAGTGGAACAAGAATCTGTTTTTTATTGAGTATTTTAAAAATTACAAAAAAATATTTAAGTCAATGACTAATCTTTCCAAAAGAAGGACAAACAAAGATTATATTAAAAACTCAAATTGTAAGACCAAAGCTTCTTGGGCAGTTGTAAAGAAGGAGTTGGGCCACAATAAACTAAATAATGAGATACCATATAATGTTCAGAGCGGCCTGAAAAATAACTGCCAATCTTTGAAAACTCTGGCAAATTAGGTATTTTAATCGTCATTTTTTGAACTTAAGTAATTCAGCAGCAGTAGCTCCGAATAAGAACAAAGCATTGATGTTCATGGTTCGTAACTTAGCAAAGATTGATGAGCCTTTTAAGTTTAAAAAAATTAAAATATCTGATTTGAGAAAAATTGTTTATTCATTGAAAAATACTAAATCTGCAGGATGGGATGAAATCCTCCTATTTGTAATAAAATATGTGACTGATTTGATTCAAGAATCCTTGTGCAAAATAATAAACCAGTCCCTAGAATGTGGAGTTTTCCCTGAGAAACTCAAATTTTCTGTAATCAAGCCTCTTTATAAAAAAAATTGTGTTAATGAATTGAAGAATTATCGTCCAGTAGCTTTACTTCCGTGCTTTTCTAAGATATTTGAGAAGGCAGTTTAACTACAATTCAAAAATTATATGGGAAACAATAATATATTTAATATATCACAATTTCGTTTTAGAAAAGGACTTAATACCCAAACATCAATAACACAAATGGTTATTGGTTAATCATATAGCTGGGGCGCTGGATGGGTCGCACAAGGCTGCGGGTGTGCTGTGCGACCTATCCAGCGCTTTTGACTGTGTTAACCACGACATTTTAATTGAAAAGCTAGGCAAAATTGGAGTTATAGGAAAAGAGCAACTGTGGTTTTCTTCCTATTTAACTAATAGATATTATCAGAGAACTAAAATCAGCAAAAATAGTCAACAAGTAAATTCATCTTGGGATAAAGTGCAATGTGGTGTGCCACAGGGGATTGGGTCCCTCTTTGTTTTTAATCTATGTAAATGATCTGCCAAATATAACAAAGATGAAACTTTTTCAATATGCAGATGACACAATGCTTTTGTGTAGAGGACCCACTATTGACATCCTGCAGACTAGCATAGACAAAAAATTCTCTGCTCTGGGTAACTGGTTCCGGGCAAATGGTCTGGCCCTAAATGTGGAAAAAGCACAAATTATAAACTTTTCAGCTAACTACAGGGAAGATGATTCAAATCACATTATCCTTTCAAATTATCAATTATCTCCACAAAAAAATGTAAAATTCCTCGGATTAATTTTGAATAAAAATCTTAACTGGGCATCTCAAATTGAAAATTTAAGTAAAAAATTAGACCCTTGCATTTTCTCAATAAGAATAATCTCACAAGTAACGAATCTAGAAACCCAGCTAATAATATATCATGCATATTTCTCATCATTAATGACATATGGTATCTTGATCTGGGGTAACTCTCCTTATTCAAAAAAGATTTTTAAATTACAAAAAAAGTAATACAAATTATTGGCAAAGTTCCCCCTAGAACCCCTAGTAAAAAACTGTTTGAAAACTTTAAAGTTCTTACTTTTTACGATCACTATATTTTGGAAATAGCATGCTGGGTCCATAGAAACCTCTCCACTTTTATGGAGACCCAAACTCAACATAATTACAATACAGGAAAAAAGAATATTATCCAGGGCCGGATTTCCCAATAGGCCCGGTAGGCCCGGGCCTATGGGCGCAAGGTCCCAGAGGGCGCAAGGCCGAGAGGAAATTTTTTTATACCTAGGCTATCTAAAAATAAAAAAATAGTCATAGTTGATAAAAAAAAAACTCCAAAGCATTGTGATTCTGAAGTTGATGAGAAGAAATAATTGTTAGGAAATTTAAACAATTTTTCAGAATTACGCATCAATTTCGTTACAAAATCGGTAACGAACATTGGTTATACGGGAGTAGGCTGTAGGGATGTTGACGTTGACGAGCGTCCAAGGGGTATGCATCGTATTGCCCCTGCACTGCCACTATGCTGGCTCGGGCTCGGCACTACTAATCAGAGTGATTAGGGGTGCATGCGTGCTAGACATTGTTACCACCCTCACCTCACAAAACAAAAGTTATTAACTAATCTTTTGATTAGTTTACAACAATCTGCAGTATCAAGTTAAAATATATAATACGTTGTGTTGAATATTAAAACAAAATTAACGAAATAATATAAATCTCAGTTTGCATTAGATTTTAGAAAAAATTTAATACCCTCCAAAGCACCATTAATGCTGTCATTTTCTCCTTAGACGTAAGGATCGGTATGGTCTGCCGGAATATTGCTCTGTTTTGCTTTGGAAATATAACCTAGATACAGTAGTACGACCATAGAGTAATATGTAATTGTTAATTCAAAAAATTTTCACGTCTAGTTCATGTTGGTGACACTAGACGTTAGTTTTGACGTAATTTTGTTGCTATTATTTTAGGGTTAGTTCTATAATGTGTGTTTTAATTTCTTGTAATATAAACAGGAGACAACCTATTGTTGATGATTATATCGTTTTATTTTGGTTGGAAAAACTAGGTTTAAACATAGATAAAACATACTCCTTAAATAACAAGAATTGTTTTCACCTAATCCAAAATTATGACAAATCTACTAAAGGAGTATGTTTAATCTATGGCACCACGTACTGTATGGAGTTCATATCTTTGGGCCTGGAATTGGAATCAATGGCCATGTTTTTTGCAGGAATGCTCGGTGGGCTGAGTTATTTTGTTTCAGTCCCACGGCCGCAACCGTGAGCATTTATTAAAAGCATAAAATTGCTAAGAGTGTTTAAGACGGCATTTTGCTAAGGCTAAACAAGTCAATTCTTAAAAAAAGAACTTGCAATGATTCCAACCAGGAGTGGTATTTAAGCAATTAACTTAGGCCTATTGGCATGATATAGTTTTTAATAATTAAAGGTTTGAAGGAAAGTAACTGTGACCAGACTAGGGGGCGGAATATTATTTGGGCCTAGGGGCGCAAAAATGCTAAATCCGACCCTGATATTATCAAACCTGTAGCACATAATTTACAAATATTCGAGTCATCACCACAATACATTGGTCCAAAAATCTTAAATAACTTAATATCTTACTAATACAGATGTATTAGTTTTATCTATTAGTTTTAAGTCTTTATTTAACCATTGACAATATGTCCTGTTATTATGATGTACTGTACTGACATGTAACTCAATAAATAAAAAATAATGTCTTTTTAATTGCCTTTAATTACTTTGGACTCTAGGTAGCTACAATGGAATTTATTTTATCTTTACTGCCACTGACATTTTTAAATACAGCAGTGTAAGGTTATTTCGTCGTACAGAGTTGGTTAGTGACTACCAGAGTTAGCGAATTCTGCCGTGGGACAAAATCCAGTTAGCGGGTTGCGGATTTACCCAATTCCTGACTGGGATGGTTCGCCAGTTCCGCAACCCGACCGAGTTAGTGAGTTCCAGAGCTAACCAATTCCTATGTCTCCTCTTTTTTAAACTTTTCCTTAACTTCCCTGACCCTATACCAGTTTTCCTAACTTTCCCAGGTCTGTGTTAACCCTCTATAAACTTGGAATTTTCCAAGGATGTAGTTAGTAATTTAATAAGGCACTACCCACCCAAGGGGGCCGAGCCATAGGTGAGGATCTACACTAGTACAAAATTTACTTTACGGAATTGAGTTTTTAATTGTAATGGCAATAAGAAATAGTGGATCGATTTCAATTTCCACCTAACTAGGTAGATCTGTATTTAGGTGATTCGACCACCACATGCTAAGTACAGCTCAGATTTTCCCCTATTGTGAAAAAAAGCAAGCGAGAGACATGTACCATACTCATATCATATTTAAACACTTTGGCCAGCCAACGTGGATGCCGGCATCGTACGTGAATCTAAAAAGGGTTGAGAGTTCTATGATCAATATCGTATGGCCGAGTCTGCATCCACTGACGCAGTTCCATTAGTTCTCTTTTAACATCACAAGGAAATTGTGATCACGATTTCAGGAGATCCTAAGATCTAAGATTTGAGTCTGCCTCCAAGTAGGCATACTAAATGTTAAATGTTTTGTCGTACAATGTGTCGTCTTATATGTGTATTTATTTGAATGTTCTTGACGAGTCTGCAATGGATGAGTTGTTCTTGATGGATCACTTGACAATGCCTATGTATAGGCGAAACATGTAGTGAGTTTGACCATACTATTGAACTGTGAAAGTAAAGGTATGTACCTTAAAATAATAGTGATCCTAAGATAGGTGTTGAATCCAGTTGACATTCCCTTGATACCACCGGTTTACATACCGCAATCAGCCCATCCTTATTTTTAACGGTTATAACAAAATTCACAAAACACCAGTAGCAAAACAAAAATCCTGGCTTGTTTTCATGGTTTTCACGGATGTGTAGAACATCAAGAGGAATTGAAAAAACACAATTGTCTAAGATATTAAATGTATTTTACATAATGTATGAATGTATCAAGGTTGTACGGCCAAAAACACTGGAATTGTCATAATTAAATTAAATATTAATTGATAACGGTGATGCTCAGACTCCGGGCAGTCCAGGTTTCCAGTCCGCAGGACAACCGGTTTCTGTCTCATCCACATACTGAAGGGCCCGGGTGATCCGCAACAGTTCATCAATGTTTCTTCCTACACCAAGGTCGTTCACCAACATGTGACGAAGGATACCTCGCCTGTCTATTATGAAATGTGCTCTGAAACAATAATTAATTGTCAAACTCAATTATGATTTTTGGCAAATACAACCATTTTGCTAATAATGGTACGGTAGAAAACGTTTTCAGTACTAATAGCACCACAAAACATGTTAGACGTCCCATCTATATGGACCAGCTGTAGCCAATTTTTTGTTAAAAAAGATTGTAGTTGTGTGAGCCAGACATAGAATGCGCTAGTGGCTAAAACTCTATTTTCTACCTTATTTTTTGTTGCTGGCCAAGTTGATGGGTCATAACAGTTGCTATAGCTCACAATAAGTAATTCCATTAGTTTGAATTGGTTAAAAATATTGTGCATTCAACAGAAATCAGTAATTTAGATCAGCCACAATCTGTCAGTGGCTCACATCAACTATGACGATTTTGGTAAAAAAGCTGGCTACAAATTTAACATGGGGATGGAATGTCTAATGTTAACCAGCAATATTAGGTACTAAAATGAAAACCATGTTTTATGCAGCAGCTGATAAGTACAAAACAAATTTTAAAAAAGTTTTAAAGGGTGGGATGAAAAAAAATACAAGTACTGGTGCAGTTACCTGCTGTCAAGTGATTCTTATGGCCTTGAAAGGAGACTGGTTTCGATCCTCATGGGGTCATCTTCAGGCAAACGTCATCATCTTTATATCATTTATACGAACACACCGATTTAATTTTTAAAACACTGAGAAATTTTTTATGATACACTTAGTGACACACATACACTAAACACTGAACTATTCAACCGATCGTTTATCCAGCGGGCCACACGGAAGTATAGTCTAGGGAATGACCGCTGCATGCTGGTGTCATTGCCTCCTTCTACCCTTAATCTTTCTTATCAGGTTCACGCTTTCTGTTCAGTATTCATAAGTAGGCCAGCTGATCATTGTGTGTATGTGTGTGTGTGTGTGTGAGAGAGAGAGAGAGAGAGAGAGAGCATATTACAAAATCCCCACATGGCCGCAACAATACAATAACAAAATTAAAATGTAAAGATTGCTGCTTTCAAGTGAATTGCTTCCTCGTAATATAGTTTCTTTGAGTAGCATCTTTCATTTCTTTCACATTTGGACATTCATTGAACATATCTTCTCGATGGACTAAATTACACCAGTGCAGTGGAACATATGGCCATACAACATTTGAATTTGACCAATCTTCCTTCAAGACTCCTAGAACTTCATATGGGGTGGTAATAGTAACTTAACTGTATCTAAATTAAACCAAAAGTCCATAATATTTATAACCAAAATTAAACTAAATATCCCATCATACAGTCCACTTTATTATTGAAAAAGCCTTCTTTAGGATTACGCAACACTTTCGTTTGTATCCCTCCTAGACTATTTTTAGCTGCATCGAATATAATTTTTAATGCGAAAGAGAGCTTGTAGTTCAAAACTGTTTGCGGGTCCTGTTTAACGGCCTTGTGTATTTTGAATTCCTCGATTGTAGTCATGAATGGCCCTTTATTGCATTTATGGAGTACAGTACAGGGTGAGGCAATGAGAACGCCACTTTTTGTTTAAGATGTCACATGTTAATTGTTGCAAAAACGAATGATCAGCTGTGCTTATGACATCCATTAAACTATGCCATTTTAGTAAATATTAAGCCTGAGGCTATTAACACTGAGAATTTTATGTGGAAACCTATTTTTAAAAAAGTGATTCTTGTGCAAAAACCCTGAGATTGTTTGGACCACATTCCATCCTTGGTCAACATGGTGCTGTTCCCGATTGGAAAACAATGGTAAACTGGGTAAAATTATTTAGGATAAACGCTGAAACCTAAAAAATAATCGGTGGGTGCCGCAAAACTCTTATACAAGCAAATGTTGAAAGAATGCGAGTCGCAGTAACTCAAAGTCCAAAGGGATTTTCCAGGAAGCTTTTGTTGTTGAAAGCTTTACGTTGGCTCCTTTTTTGGGAGGGGGGGGGGGGGTTGTTCTAGTAAGCTACTTGAAGTTCGAGGTTTTTCAAAGTCACCCCATAGATTTGCTTGAACTGAAGCTAAGAATCGTCCAAAAACTAAAGTGAACCTGAAGAAATGCTGGAGGAGTATTTGATGGAGTTGTCCCTTAAAAGGAATGTCAAGTAGGAAAAGGTCGTCACTTGCAGGATTTTGTTCTCAAGAAATGGAAAAATGACTTTGTTAAGTTAAAATGGCAAAAGATAAGCTGTGTTTTGATGTGCTATTTATATCTATAGGGTGAATATTATTGAGTTTGTACAGCTTATAAATTGGGGTGCTTTCATTGCCCCACCCTGTAGAACCCTGGTTAACCGAATTCCGTAAAGTAATAAATTGCTAAAAATATAAGTAAGATGTAATGTAAAATGCTTTAGTAGCTTCAGTTGTATATTTTAAAGTATTTTCTTACCCATTGTAACATTTCTGTAGCTGAAATAAAACACTGTGTTATTAAATTAATTTTTCCTACACACGGTGGTAATACATAGACTATTTTTAGCATATGATAGGTTTAAAAAACAATTGTTTATCCGAAACGGCGCTTCCCCTTTATTTTGGTTAACCAGGGTTCTACTGACTCTACTGTATTTCTAAATTTTAATCGATTTTAGCGTAGCTGAGGTTATTTATTATTAATCAAGTGGTTGGCATATGCTAGTAAGTTATATAAGTTTGATTTTTGATTCGACTGTTTAGGTAGATGTTACTTAGTTTTTATGTTGAATGACCTTGCAGTCCGTCCTATGTAAAAGATAGGGTAATCGTTAAATTTCAGTTTATATATTCTCGTTTGTTTATTATCATAAGGCTTATCTTTAAGAATGCTGGCTAATTTGTTGGATGTTTTGAAGGAGATACATCCAATATCTCCTTGAGATCTCCTCAAAAACATCCACCAAATTAGCCAGCATTCTTAAAGCCTCAATATCTCGAAGCTTTTCAAAAAATCGACGTGCTCGTAAGAATGAATTAAAGGGAATGACGTGGAGATGATCCCGAGAGGATCGAAACTAGTTGACTTTCAAGGTCATAAGGATCACTTGAGAGCAGGTAAATGTACAGTACATTTATTTGATCAGTGATTCGAAGGCTTAACCCAAACAAAATCAAGAAAAAATTTAGATGTGGAAAAAAGTCTGTGAGTCAGAGGTAATTATGTGGCAGAACCTAAATACTAAATATCTCTTAGCAAACCATTAAAGACTATGCTTTTGGAACAAAATCTGATAATTTTACTTGAGTTATCATTCTTACGGTCACATATAAGAGGGCTATCCAGTTAGTGACAGACTATTTGGCTGGTGCGGCAGTGGGCGGGGCTAGGACCGCCATCTTGGCGTCAGAGTGTTCCTACACTCAGTACGCAACCAGCCGTGATAGCAAGAGCATCGTGAAGTGACTTCTGTACTTTGTATGCAGTGGAGTTTAGAGATGAGCTCTACAACTGTATATTCCGCCAGTTGTGAAGTGCAAGGTGTGATAAGGTTTTTATTGGCAAAAAATTACAGACCTATTGAAATTTATCGCTAGATTTGTGATGGCCAAGGAATAATGAGTGAAAGCCGAGTGAGGCAGTGGAGCATTGATTTAAAAAATTGTCGAACCAATATTTAAGACAAGGATCGCAGCAGTAGGCATAGTCATGTGACTGATGAATTGGTGGCAAAAATCGATGAAAAAATCTGTGAACATTGTCGTTTTACGGTCACAGAACTCTGAGAACATTTTCCTCAAATTTAACGGGAGTTTAGTCCATGAAATAAATGAAAATGCTTCTTTATTGAGGCGAACTTAGGACCTCATGGTCCTTTCTTACAGTTAACCTCTAAAAAACTAATACTAGCAACAAAAAATACAATAAAGTTTGTAACATAACTAGTAATAAAATGGCATAAATGTATTCATCTTCCCTTTTAATTTATAAATAGTGCTTGATAAATTTTGGTACTACAAATTTTGTGCCAGGTGGGTTGCAAAATTGCTAATAGAAGACAAAAAAAACCGAGTTGCTGCAGCACCGACATGTCTGGAAGAGTATGACAAAAGTAAAAACCATGTTATTGATTGTATCGTAACTGGTGACGAGACTTGGGTAAAGCACGTAACTTTCAAACAAAAAGGCAGTCAATGGAATGGGGTCACACGTATTACCCCAAGAAACCAAAAAAAAGCGTTCACAAATGCTATCAGCAAGAAAAATCATGGCTACGGTGTTTTGAGGTGCTCAAGGAGTGATTTTGGTACTTTCTTGAACAAGGCCAAACAATTAACTCAGAGAGGTATTGCAAAACACTCTGAAAATTAAGACGTGAAATCCAAAACAAGCGTCGAGGTAAACTGAGAAAAAAGGTTTAGATTTTTCATGACAACGGCCTTCTACACGTGGCCAATCATACCCTACAGTCCGGATTTGGCACCGAGTGACTACTATCTGTTCCCAGCGATGAAGACGTGGTTCGATACGCAACACTATGACACTGACACTGAACTCTATGCCGGTGAAAACCAGTCCTTAAACTTACAGGTGGCAGTTTTATTTTATGAGGACATTGAAAAGCTTGAACCACACTATGATAAATGCCTTAATAAATGGTGATTATGTAGAAAAAAATATTAGCCTAAAAGTTTGGCTTCAAAATTTATATAATAAAAATAGTTTATTTTTCATTTTGTATAGCCGTCTACTAAACGTCTACAAAACGTCTACTACTTTCTGTATAGCCCTCGTATGAAAACAAAAGTTACTAGGAGACCTACGGTAATAACTTATTCCCAAAAAACCTATATACCTGAGAGTGTGACCCAAGTCAGGCAGTAAGACACCGTAGTCGCGGGCAATGCTGTGTGTGGGGTCGGCCAGCAGAGGTATCTTGGGGTTGCCAAGGCCACCCTCATTACGCGGGGTGCGCGCCCACGCCAGGTGTGTTAGGTGAGAGTCCACAGAACAAGCCACGATCTCAGTCTGGACAGCTCGGAACTCCAGCACTCGGTCACTCAGTGACAACAGTTCCGTGGGACACACTGCAGAACTGAAAAATCATTCATTTTAATGAAAACAGGTACAGACAAATGTTTGGACAGTAATATTATCTTATTATTAAACTCTTATCATCAAACCGAAACCATAGTTAACAAAAATCAACAAATAAGCAAACAGCAAGGCAACAGGGAATCGTACACAATGGCACAGATAGTTGGCGCGGCTTGGCCAATGAAATCTAATTGAACAGGCAAAGACATTTAACACAACGAGGCATGATAAAGTTCATACCGTAACAAAGATTCAGAGAGTTTCAATTCTTCAGGTAGTGTTGATCTATGAAAAATTCCCTTTATTTGAGTAAAGTCTCTCCAGTAGACATCTGGTAAGTGGTGTCTTGAGAATCTTGATGGGCTCCTTTCTAAAGTGGTCTGGAAGATAAATTAAGCATAGGGCTCCTTTTTAGGGTGTTTTTTTTTTTTTTTTTTTACCATACGGGCTGTTATAAAATGGTGGAAGCGTAATAAAGTTTGTAGGGTTGCATGTGTTGTGTTGATGGAGGTCTTTGTGTTTGGTGTGCTGGGTATAAACTGTATGATGTGTGTGATGTGTGTAACAACTGTGAGTATTTTAAGGTCTTGCAGTTGTCCTGGTAGTTGCGTCTGCTATAAAATCTGATTTATAAGGGTCTTATTCTGGTGTATAGGGGTAATTCAAAGTTTGTGTTAGGGGTACTGTCGCACAGCAATGCAGTACCGAAGATGTGATTGCAACAGTGCCAAGTAAGAGGTGTTTCCTGTCTCTAAGTTCCTTGACTACTGAGTTTGTCTAATAATAACATAGGTGGCGGAACTAAGCTTCTTGCCCAGAAGGTCAATGTGATGTTTCCAGAAGAACAGAGTCAAAACAGTAACTCCGAGGTATATTTGGTTAGGCTTGGTTAGTTTAGAACAGTTTCAAATGATAATCAACACTTATTTTTTCCCATACAGGTTTAAGAGTTCCTAAGAGGCACATGTTTAAATTTAAAGCACAATTCTTTCCTATTGAAACCAGGAATTTGTGGTACAGTGACCTGTTGCTGCATTGCTATTGGTTGTAGTAAAACAGGTGATGTAAACATGCAGCATTCTTATTAGCTGGTAGTTTCTTTATTAGTTCTTTATTTAGAACTGTCTCCTTTTTAAGTTCAAAGTGAAATAGTGACAATGGCGGACCTAGCTCAAGTTGATAAAGAAATTTGTGATTTACGTTTATACTGATTGTGTCGGGAAGTCGTGTTAGGACATTGTATCATTCCTTGTAAAAAACGATGTCAGGGCACGGTGGTGATTGATGTGTTCGTTGGACCAAGATAAACAGGAAACTTTTGTTTTGTTGTAGGCTAGTTGCTAGGTCGCAATCAGCAAACCAAAGAAGACACGGTGCTGTCCGTGCGTGCCGGTTTTGGTTATTTTTGAGACAGCAGAAAGTGAATACTGTTATTGTTGTTTAAAGATTTTATTGCAGAGTTTGTTATTGCTGGAGTGTGTTATTGTGTAAAAATGATGTTTATTGAGGTTTTGGAGGAACTGTGCTTAGGGTCGGTTTTATTGAATTCCAGTCAATTTTTGTTACCGATATTGCTCTACCCCCTCTTATAATCCCCCAAAACTTCATTTTAGGCCTATACACTTTTTTACACAATTTCACACTTCGGGAAGTGCATTTAGGCTGATGTCAGGGTCCTAAATTTTCCTAAAAAGATACAAGTTTAAAAAGACTAATTTTGAACCAAACAAAGAACTAAAAGTTATATTTTAATTCCTAAACCACTTACAAATCTTGTGGGTAGAAGAACAAAATAAGATATCTGCCTTTGTAGTCATTGAGTTCCAATCGAGTAACATGACCATTTACAATGGCAGTAGCTTTCCACGGAGGAGCTGGCTTGGTCACTAAAAAAACATATCAACAAAATTAGCTCAACACGTCCATAAGTTACTACACTGTTGTAATTGTATTTATACTTAAATTAAAACCCTAATCTATTAAAAAAGGATACAGATTATTATTAAATAGGGATAGTCGGGTCCCAACATTTCGGGAAATTTTCGGGAAAAAAATATTCCCGATATTCGGGACGGGATTAAATTTAATTCGGGAATTTTTCGGGACGGGATTTGGTCCGATCGTCGGTGATTTTGCCGCTTTGCGCCCGACGATAATGCCGCTATCGCGAGAGATGTTCCGCGAACGCAGGAGGCGAAGTCATTTTGACGATCGCGCCGTGACCACGGAGTCATACCGACGATCCCGCCATGGCCGCGGAGTCATAACGACGATCACGCCGTGACCGCGAGTCATACCGACGATCACCCCGTCACCGCGGAGTCATACCGACGATCGTCCCGTGACCGCAGTCATACCGACGATCATGCCGTGATCACGAGTCATACCAACGATCGCGCCGTGACCACGGAGTCATACCGAGGATCGCGCCGTGGCCGCGGAGTCATACTGACGATTGCGCCGTGACCCCGGAGTCGTACCGACGATCACGCCGTGACCACGAGTCATACCGACGATCACCCCGTGACCGCGGAGTCATACCGACGATCACCCTGTGACTGCTGGGTCATACCGACGACCGTCCTGTGACCGCAGAGTCATACCGACGATCACCCCGTGACCGCAGAGTCATACCGACGATCATCCCGTGACCGCTGGGTCATACCGACGACCGTCCTGTGACCGCAGAGTCATACCGACGATCACCCCGTGACCGCGGAGTCATACCGACGATCACCCCGTGACCGCTGGGTCATACCGACGACCGTCCTGTGATCGCGAGTCATACCGACGATCACCCCGTGACCGCGGAGTCATACCGACGATCACCCCGTCACCGCGGAGTCATACCGACGATCGTCCCGTGACCGCAGTCATACCGACGATCATGCCGTGATCACGAGTCATACCAACGATCGCGCCGAGGCCGCGGAGTCATACTGACGATTGCGCCGTGACCCCGGAGTCGTACCGACGATCACGCCGTGACCACGAGTCATACCGACGATCACCCCGTGACCGCGGAGTCATACCGACGATCACCCTGTGACTGCTGGGTCATACCGACGACCGTCCTGTGACCGCAGAGTCATACCGACGATCACCCCGTGACCGCAGAGTCATACCGACGATCATCCCGTGACCGCTGGGTCATACCGACGACCGTCCTGTGACCGCAGAGTCATACCGACGATCACCCCGTGACCGCGGAGTCATACCGACGATCACCCCGTGACCGCTGGGTCATACCGACGACCGTCCTGTGATCGCGAGTCATACCGACGATCACCCCGTGACCGCGGAGTCATACCGACGATCACCCCGTCACCGCGGAGTCATACCGACGATCGTCCCGTGACCGCAGTCATACCGACGATCATGCCGTGATCACGAGTCATACCAACGATCGCGCCGAGGCCGCACAGTCATACTGACGATTGCGCCGTGACCCCGGAGTCGTACCGACGATCACGCCGTGACCACGAGTCATACCGACGATCACCCCGTGACCGCGGAGTCATACCGACGATCACCCTGTGACTGCTGGGTCATACCGACGACCGTCCTGTGACCGCAGAGTCATACCGACGATCACCCCGTGACCGCAGAGTCATACCGACGACCGTCCCGTGACCGCAGAGTCATACCGACGATCACCCCGTGACCGCTGGGTCATACCGACGACCGTCCTGTGACCGCAGAGTCATACTGACGACGTCCCGTGACCGCAGAGTCATACCGATGATCGTGCCGTCACCACGGAGTCATACCGACGATCATGCCGTGATCGCGAGTCTTAATGACGATCACCCCGTGACAACGGAGTCATACCGACGACCGTCCCGTGACCGCGGAGTCATACCGACGATCGTCCCGTGACCGCAGTCATACCGACGATCGTGCTGTGACCGCGGAGTCATACCGATGATCGTGCCGTGACCGCGGAGTCATACCGTCGATCATGCCGTGATCGCGAGTCTTAATGACGATCACCCAGTGACCACGGAGTCATACCGACGATCACCCCGTGACCGCGGTAATTTTGACGATCGCACCGTGACCGCGAGTCACAAGTTTCTATATGTACCTGTAAATTGTTGCAACCAAACCATTTTTTTGTTTTTTTAGATCAGTGCCAAAAACGTTAAAAATTGATTTCGTTTGTCTTTTTGGTAACTGCAATACTCAAGACTTTCTTTTTATCCACAGGAAAAAAATCCCGTCCCGTCTCGTCCCGAAAATCAAGAAGGAAATAAAAATCCAGTCCCGTCCCATTCCGAACTAAAAATTCAATCCCGTCCATCCCTATTATTAAATGAGAAAAAAATCATCCAAAATGTACTTAGGTACTTTTAGTTGTTAAAATAAAGTACAAAAAGCAACTTAGTAGCTTAAGAGGGTTTTATAAAAATAGTTTCACCAAGGTTTTTGGCGACCGTAGGTTTCATGGAAAGACCTAGACCCGGGACCGGTTTACTTTTTCGTTTTGAGGTCTCCAGAGGCCAAAAACACCCTCCGTTCAAATTCATATATATATATATATATATATATATAGTAGGCCTATATGTGTTAGTTAGTGCGATAACCCCGATAACTCAAGGAAAAATTATCCAATTTTGATAACATTTGGTACAAACGTGTAAACCTACATTTATTCTAACGAGTTCGCGAACCAGCATGATCGGACAATGAGAGCGGGGGTTTATGGGGGGTTTTGTGGGGTAAAAATTGGGTTTTCCCATTTTTGACCCCAAAACACAAAGTATCACAATTTCTTTCTAGAAACCATTTTGTAGAGATTAAAAAAAGAAATAATTTTGTATATTGAAGCGTAGTTGAATGCCTAACGGTTACGAAGATATTACAAAAATTGTAAGTAAATGAAAATTCTCATGTTATTTTTATGGAGAACTAGCAGAGTACCCGTCCTTTGTATGGGGTTGGCATCTATCTATCTATACTATTCTAAAGAAGAGGTGGTTTCTGTGTGTGTATGAGATAATCTCAAAAACTACTGAACCGACTGGGCTCAAATTGCACAAAAAAGAAGCTACAGCTCCGAGGATACATATAGAACTGTTCCCGCTTCGATACTGTCCTAGGGCTCTGCCCCGTGGGCTTTCAAAAATTTGAGGTGAGAGATTTAAATGTAAATATTGATTGATGGTATCCATGGTAACAAAGAACAAACCTACAAAGTTTAAAAATGTAAACAAGCAGAACTAACTGTCAAATGAATTTTGATTTCACAATTCCACACAGCTGGTTCAAATATATTAAATACTGCACGAATATTAGAACAGATAGGGTAAGGATTATAAATTTAAAATAATGATGTCACTAGCTCGAATGTTAACATTATTTAACATTACTTAAATGGAGCTGTCAAACCATATGTTAATGTCATTTCATTAGTATATGATTATTTCAGTTACTTAATTTGTTTATGTTTATGATCTATTATACTGAGTGTGTTCTAATATTTGTGAAATGCTGTAATAGCTATTTACCTTACAAGTGTAGTAAGAGCGTTTTTACATCACGCAGGTGAAGGTTGTGCAACGAGCGGAAGCGAGTTGCATAATTTACCTAAGTGATGTAAACACGCTCTTGCGTAACGTGTAACGTACAATATTTTACCTGACCCGACAATATACAGGAGGTTACGAACAATATTAATCATTATCCATTTCACTCATCTTTTAACAGTAACGTTAATTTACAAACAAAAGCTAGGTTAGGAAAATTCTTCAAAACGTAACAATAAAATTCAAGAGCACAGCTGATTTCTAGCGTTGAACGTCGTTGGCTCCATAGAGGTATATTTTTTAAGTTAATCACTCAATGTTATTTAAATGGGTTTCATTACATCACCGAGTGAGTTTTTGATACTTTACATCACTCGAGAAGTAAGGAAGTTGTATACATCACGCTTGGGATAGGGAAGTTTAACATGGCGGGTTAGGTAATAATATTTTACCTAACCCGCCATGTTAAACTTCCCTATCCCAAGCGTGATGTATACAACTTCCTTACTTCTCGAGTGATGTAAAGTTGGAAAAAACTCACTCGGTGATGTAATGAAACCCAATTAAATAACATTGAGTGGATAACTTAAAAAATATACCTCTATGGAGCCAACGACGTTCAACTCTAGAAATTAGCTGTGTGTTTGAATTTTATTGTTATGCTTTGAAGAATTTTCCTAACCTAGCTTTTGTTTGTAAATGAACGTTACTGTTAGAAGATAAGTGAAATTGATAATGAAGCAATGAACGTTACTGTTAGAAGATGAGTGAAATTGATAATGAAGCATATTGCTCGTAACCTCCTGTCGGGTCAGGTAAAATCTTGTACGTTACACGTTACGCAAGAGTGTGTTTACATCACTTCGGTGAATTATGCAACTCGCCTTCGCTCGTTGCACAACATTCACCTGCGTGATGTAAAAACGCTCTTACTACACTTGTAATGTAAATAGCTATTACATGGAATAATTTGTTGTAAAAAAAATCATTTTATGGATATAGGAACTAATTAAGATTCTATAATCATTGCCGTATCAACCTAAGCCCTTATCCTGAATTTTATGAGGTTTATTTTTGTGTGTAAACAGTAATATAATCCCCCTGCCGCAGCAAATCTATAGACTGAGCGAATTTCAATTTGACTGATTATAATTTCACTAAAATATGTTAGAAAATGACCCTATTTTCCATATTTATTTCTATTTTCCTAGTTTTCGGTTTGGAACTATTGTGATAGCTTTTTTGTTTACAGTGTAAACCATAAAAACATTCTTTTATCATACCTTAGAATCTATCATTGGTTTTGTATCGTAGGTAGCCTAAATAAGTATTCACAGTATGAGTAAAAAAAACGTACTATTATCAAATTAAGTAAAACAGTTAAATTTTGTTTCTAAATTAAATGGTAGGAGTGAAACCATTTGGCATTTTCAAAGAACCAACATTGTCTCTTTTGCATACTGACACCGTTGCAATGCAAGGGCATAGCTGCTAGCAAATACGAATAGTATCCGCTAGCAAAAATAACAAGCGACCAGCGCTACTAACTGTGACCAACGGGATTGATTTATTTAGTAGGCTATCTTATATAAATTAGAGTTAATCATGTACTATCACAAAGTCTTCTTTCTACATCAATTACAATTCCATAATACCCTCACTGCAGCAAACCTGCAGCCAAAACAAATTTCCATTTGTGTGAATTTATTTTCAATTAAATCTATTTCAACAACATTATGTTTAACGAGTACCTAGTTTTGCTGCCTACAGGGAGGGTACTAACGAAGTGTGATTTTTAGGAAAATATTAGTAGCTTAGTATGAAATAAATAAATTTACCAAGTTTAATAAAAAATCCATCCATTAAAAAGCAATATTACAACAGTTTACTTATCATACTAATATTATAATTTAGAAAGTTTGGATGTTTGGATGTATCGATGTATGGATGAATGGATGCATGGATGGATCGATGGATGAATGGATGGATGGCTGGATGGATGTTTGTGACAAGTAAACGCGAAAAATACTACACCGACAAGGTTGAAATTTGGTATGATGATAGCTGACATTCCCGATTAACATATAGACATATTCATACCTCAAAAATCCTTTCAGGCTCCGCCTCAGTGGCTCTGGAGTTTCTCATATTAACCATATGAGTATTCATATTTAAAGATTAATATCATAATCATAAATTTTAATATCATAATATCATAAGATCATAATTTTGTCAGCTGTTTCAACTGCACAAGTTGGTTCTATGATACTAGACCTCAAACGTCAAAATCGGGCGAATAATAACGGAGGAGTTCGATTAACAAAAAACGGCTTAGCCTATTATATATATAGATGCCAACCCCGTACAAAGGACGGGTACACTGCTAGTATAAGTATAAAATGCTTATTGCAGTTATACTCAAGCTTCGCATTTTCAATGGAGTGGACACAGTTTGATAAAATTTGCTTCTTTAAATCAACGGTATACTATAGTATTACACATCTACCATAACCATTATGTTCTACCCCTTCACCTTTAAACAATAAAGAAAAATTATTTATTAAAAATTCGCAAAATATCACAAATTGTTCATGTAATTAAAAACATAAACAACTGTAAACAATCCTACTTTGACAGTTCTCATTGCGTATCACAGCTTTTTGTTGCTGCTTAGTTCAAATTAGCTGTTTTCATAAATACAAAGAAAAAAATAATAGTGCTGCACTCTGTTGGTAAATCTTATAACTTTTTAATACTTTTGCATATCATAGAACCAACTTTTTTTAGTTGAAACAGCTGACAAAATACTTTAATTCCCTTTAAATATGAAAACTACATGGGGAACTACAGAGCCACTGGGGCGGAGCCCGAAAGGATTTTTGAGATAAGAATATGCCTATATGTTAATCGGGAATGTGAGCTATCATCATCCCAAATTTCAGCCCAATCCCTCCAGTAGTTAATGCGTGATTGAACTCCAAACACACAAACAAACAAACAAACAAACACACAAACTTCCACATTTATAATATTAGTAAGAGTTATTTACATAGGAAATACATCTGAACATTTTAGGGGAATATTTTAGTAGAAATCCAGCCAGGTAAATGGAAATTTGCTTCGTCTGCAGGTTTGCTGCGGCGGGGGTGTATTTATGCATAGCCTAGGCATAGAAGTTAAAGAACTTAAAACAAATTTCAACTGAGTGTCTACCAGGGAGAGTATTCTAAATAGTGTAGGGCCGCACCTACACACAAAAAATAAGTAAAAAATACTCGGGACTCATCAGAATTATTCCTATGTGTGAAGCACATTGCTTAACAAAATATCTACTCGTACACTCATCCTTTAATACATCTGAAATATATGCCATTAAATGCTAACTACGTGAACAGGGACTATCTGTTGTTTTAACACTGTAAATTATCTAAGCCTCTAAGTCTAACTTTAGACATTTATTATTATCAGCATGCAACCTCTCTCTATTCGACTGCGATGCTGTGGTGTCGCACACTCACCTATAGCTTTGCTGGTGTAGGACGGAGGCTCGGCTACAGGCCTTCTCCCGGACATGGCTGACAGTTGCTGTCCTTCCGAATGTTCTGTATAGTTCCCTTCTGCACTCAACTGCTCCTGGAGATGATCTATTGTACAAAACCCAAGTACAGTCATTTACTTTGTTATATATAATACAATATTAGCTAAATAAAATTGTGCTTATATACATTATTTTAAAAAATATAATAACCACACTGTTTGGTGGTTTTGAGCATGGGCAGACCACATACTAATCAGCTTTTGCTTGGAAAATAATATTTGGTTCTCTTTTAAATTGCAAGTCGGGTGGATGTGTCTGGATTATTGGCCTGTGTTTGTCTTATTGAGGCAGTATGTGATATTATATATAATATTGTAATTAAATTGTGTCTCATTAAGGAGTAGAGTAATATTTCAAAAGGATATTATATCATATCTTCAATACTTTACTATTTTTTTTTATCCTGAAAAACCACATTTAAATAGGCCAAAACCGTTTTATAGCCCAACACATTTTAAATTTCTTCATGGGCCTAAGTCAATTTCTGATTAGGCCTATGTTTTGGTCCCATAAGAGCAAGGTGCCTGTAGAAGATTCACCCATGAATTCTGATTGATTTGAAATAATTTTGTATGTTATTGAGAGGAATAAATGGTAATAAAATGTTTTAATATTGATATTTAGTATAATTCGCTCTTAGCTTTTTTCCAAATGTTTAGATTCTAAAACAATTTTGAACTCTATTATTGCTATCCGATGAGAGCTATTTAAAATGAATATAATTGTTCAATTATAGCCTATGCATTTGAATTTAAAACTCCTGAATTTTATAGGCTACTTTCGTTTTACTCCATATTAGTTAGATATATATTTCAATTTAACTGAATTTGTAGGGCAATTCATTGTTTTTTTAAACACTTAAACAAAATAACTAAAAATATGTAAAATAGGTTTTGGTACTTAAACATAATGATAAAAGACCCAGACTCCCTTAGAGGCTTTCTCAACTATGTAAGGCAAACTAATTGTTCAGTTAAAATATCCCCTCAAAATATTTTGGTAGCATACACCCACAATGATGTATTTGAAAGTAAAGCGGAAAATGTGAACAAGGTTATGGTTGCGAAAGTACTCCAAAGAATCTGAGTCTTATGAATGACTTGAATTTTCAGCCAACCTGATATGGACAAACAGTCAAAGTCAATGTCCTCAGCAACTTCTTTGGCTTTCTGTTCTTCGTTTGCAGATTTCCTTTGAAACAATGATCTAGAGGGGGGGTCACTTGATCGCCCACTTCCCACCCCACTTAATGCTTCCAACGTTTTTATTCCCTGACGGAACTCTTCAGAGTTATTTAAATGTTTTATCGCTTGAGAGTGAGATTGAAGCACACTAATATCAGCAACCAGAACCTTGCTGCACACTTTGCACCTCGCTTTATAACAGTTATTTTCAACCTCTTCCAACCAAAAGCTAAACTCCGGGAAATGTTCCCAAGCTTTTCTATACTTTTGCTGTTTTCTTGATTTACGCTTTTTAGGAGGGGTGGCTATAGATTGGGTTGAACTTTCATTTCCGGTATCATCTTGACTCACAGAATTAGCACTTTTCAAAACAAGTAAATCTGAATCAACATCATTCACTCCAACATGTTCTGCCATGTCTCAGTTACTTTTAGGTGGAGTTATGTAAGTAAGGTACAAATACCTGGAGAACAAACAAAGTTTAAAACAATTTGATTGAACAAATAAAACTAAGCCACATTTTAGCTTTTAAAACATAAAAATTATCAACCTAAAAGTGCAATCAATTGAAGATTACACTTTGAAATCTTAAGAGCCTCTAAGAGAACCCGGCCCTTGAGTTGGATTTATCATTTAACCATACACACCGTTGTGCCGTTGTAGAAAAGAGCTGTGAAGTCCATTATCAACATCGGTTACATTGGATTCCACAAGAATCACATTGGGTGTGTTGTTATCGACCTCATATTCGTATCTTTGCTGCTGCTTTAATTCAATTACTTTCTTCTGATGTTTAATAGAGGTTGCATGTTTTTCCAGTTCACTTTTTCCTGCATTCAATACTATGTTGCATGCTGTACACATGGCTCTTTCAGGATTAGGATGAGCTCGTAGCCATCCTTTGAACATATCAAAGGAAAGCCATTCGGCTCGGAACCTCTTTCCTCCTTTGCCTCCTCTCTTTTTTTTGTTTGGTGTTTCATATTCTAAAGTTTGAGACTCATCGGCTACATTAGTTTCGTCTAACAATCGTGAGGGTTCCCCTTCTGTGGCTGGTGTTATGACAATGGTACCAGTTTCATTTATGGTACGTTTGGGAGCAACGGCTGAGGGTTGATTGCTACTATAATAAAAAAGAACACTATTGACATACTAATAGCATAATATGGAAGAATGTGTGAAAGCTTAGTGCAAACTTATTTTGAAACACACTTTAAAAAAGCTAGGACTAATACTTGCGGCAGCAAAGCAGGCCAGTAGCCTAGTTTAAAATGTTTTTGACAAATTTTTGAACCAATTTCAAATAATAGAAGTTAAAATACAAGCATTTTGATAGTTAGTTACACAAACTAGTACCTACATATTACAAAAGCAATGTTAAGGTTGCCTAATATGTGCGTATGACACATCACACCAACATAGATGGTGCTGCTTTTAAGGCACACAGTAGCCACCAGTCAAACATGATTTTTTTTACATTCCGTTTTTTTGTACATTCCGTGCAATGAAGTACTTACCGTGCTTTTTTAATTTTTAATTTTAAATCAACTAGAATGATTGAAATGCCCAGTGAGCAAATACTGTAAGCAGGCTGTGACAATACCTATAAAAACTTGTGAATTATCTGGTGACAGGCCTAAAATACTTTGTTATAGATTCCCTAAGGACAAAGAACTATGCAAACAATAGGCCTATAGCTGCAAACGGGCAGACAAATAATTCAAGTTCCAAGTGAGATTGCAAAATTATTATTTGCATTTGTAATATAACTTAGCCTATATTAAATTCTTTAATTTTATCGCCTCATAAGTCATAATCAATAGGCCTATCGTAAGGTAGATTCATTGTAAATATAGTAGAATTTATATATAATTTCTATGTACGCTGAAATTGTTTGTAAAAATATATTAGGCTAGCCAAAATAGTTATATTCAATGATTAATCTTGCTGTTTCTCATGCCAACAGCAATAGAGGGAGTAAAGCGATCAGGTCAGCGAATAACGTGACAGTTCCGCAGCCGGTTAGCTGTTTTATATAAGAGTCAGCGTCAAAACCTTTTCATGCCCTCGTATTTTCCAGATTTCTCTATAGGTAGACAGCTGGAAATGCACCCACCGGCTTAAGAACCTCTTGGGGCCAAATTTAACAGTTCATTTTATATGTTAAATCAGTAGGCCTACTTTCCTGTTCAAAGGAACATTCATTATTATCGATGATTTTTATCGATATATTGATATTTTTGTTTTTCTTTATGATCCATATTCCTTCTGTTATAATATCTTCAAACACATTTAAATTACAAATTGACAACTGATCTTGTATAATCAAAAGCAATATACCTATGGATGAAGAAATGAAACCGTTCTAAACTAACCTAACATAACTAACCAAACTTGCTGTACCATTTCAAAATTTCGTTTGATAACAGAAAAGTCATTAGTGGCATAACAAACAGAATTTTGAAATGTTACAGCAAGTTTGTTTGGTCAGGTAAGGTTAGTTTAGAACAGTTTCATTTCAATCCTAATATTTTTATGATTGTTTGTTGATACTGAACAATATTTATTTATCATAATTGCATAGAGCGGGTTCTAGACATTTTTCTAGTGTAAGCGAACATCATTCAGGCATAGTGACATACTTTTAAAAAACTTAAATGTTAAACTTGGTAGTAAAGATTATCTCTGGATATATCTCAAAATACGAATGAATAAGTGCTTAAGAAAGTCTGAAATGTTCGAACGTCTGCTGGACGAGTCCAGTAGAGGGGTGCCCAACAAACGAATCCACTTGTTTTTGTTTGTGGTCATTGTTATTTGGGAATAACAATAATAAATTAAGAACATAGTGAGAGTATGGGCATTAGGCCCACCTTCTCACGATTTACCCTAAATCCTTACTCCTATAGTCCTACAATTTGGCAAGTTATAAACTTTTTACTTTGAGTAGGAAATATAGGCCTATAACATTATTTTTAACGAGTAATAGCTAATAGCCTAGATAAGATAAACCATTCTCCCCTTGTGTTGGTTTGTCTGAAAGACAAACTCTGGTTCAACCAAAATGTTTACGTTAACGATAGCTTTATAATTATGTAAAATATGACATATATTTGTGAGACAACTGTGAGATTTGATCTACTAAACCTCTGTTTTGGGTACATCCTGAATTAAAAAAAATTCAAATACCTACTTGTAAGTTATTATCAAGGAAATTGATAGGAAAGCAGGCTCCATAGAGACACATAAATACACAACACAACCTCGTGGCACTAACATTTAACGTAAATGCGCCAGTGCTGGGTGCTACCTCAAGTTGTATTATAGCTCATTGCGGATAAAGCTTGACAGAACCTCTGAGATGTAGGTTTTCTCTATCAGCCACAAGTGTCGCCCTCGATAACATTGGGGTTTCGCTTCTTATAGTGTTACATATTGAATGTTTCTAGTCTCTATCTCCCTTCGCAACCGTGTACCTTGCCTACCGCTTAAACCGGCTCTGCGTAGTTGTCGGGTGATATGTTTCAATTTGATAATATCGATATATCGGTTCAAAAAATAAAATATCGTTGTAGACTATGGAAAAAAATTCATCAATAATAACGAAAGTTCCCTTTAACGGGAAAGTACCTACTATTAAATCTTATTCGTAATCATCCACAGTAAACGCTTGAAAAAACAGAAGTAAGCAGATTAAATTATTAGTCTGCCCATTTGCAGTTAGTGGGGGGGAGGGGGGGGGGGTAGTGTTTGCATAAGTTAGTTCTTCATCCTTTAGGGAATCTATGATATTCTTTAATACTTACTTAGAACAGAATAGAATAGAATAGAATGTTTGTTTATTTTCTCTTTCAGATCGGATACATATAATCATTGACTTTATATCTACACACTGTGTAGATATAAAGTCAATGATATAATACACAGGTCACAATTATTGCATAATAAATTCACATTAATAAAAAGATACAAAACAAATGAAGTTCATTACGACTATAAAGGTTTTAAATAATTATGCTATTTTACTTACCTACTTACTATACTTAAATACTTTCATATGAAACTATTTTAGGCCTGTCACAAGATAATATTCTACAAATTTTTATCCAACAATTGTTACAGAAAGCTACAGCACATTTTTGACAGGCAGATTTTAATTACTTTAATCGGTAGTAGAGGTGTGCAAAACAGATCCAGGATGAGAACCGTTCTCGGTGACCTTCTTCTCGAATAGACCCATAACAGGTTAATGAAACATAGCGTATTTATATCAGATTTTAATTACTTTAATCGGTAGTAGAGGTGTGCAAAACAGATCCAGGATGAGAACCGTTCTCGGTGACCTTCTTCTCGAATAGACCCATAACAGGTTAATGAAACATAGCGTATTTATATCAGATTTTAATTACTTTAATCGGTAGTAGAGGTGTGCAAAACAGATCCAGGATGAGAACCGTTCTCGGTGACCTTCTTCTCGAATAGACCCATAACAGGTTAATGAAACATAGCGTATTTATATCAGATTTTAATTACTTTAATCGGTAGTAGAGGTGTGCAAAACAGATCCAGGATGAGAACCGTTCTCGGTGACCTTCTTCTCGAATAGACCCATAACAGGTTAATGAAACATAGCGTATTTATATCTAATTTTATTTATGGAAATTATCCCCTATGTCTACACTGGGAAACTTAGATGTAATTTTTAAACGTTTTTATAAGCTCGCTTTCTTGTCTGTTCGGTACAAATTTTGCGATCAATTTTTTTAAAACTAACTTCCCGATGAGCTATAGACTTGAAACATAGCTCACAAATTAATGACAATGCAATATTAAATCATTCAATTTCCATATTATGAAGGGTGTACTATGGGCTACACCCCATGTGCGCTCAAAGTTTCAATGTTTACATTTTTGAAGAATGTATCGATTGGAGTAAGATGCTGTTAATTTTGAAACTAAACTTAAATTCATGACAGTTTGTTCAAAGACCAGAGGTTTCTAAGTTTAATGATTATGAGAATATAAGCAACAAAATCTGATTACAGTTAATAGGGTTGGTTTTTATTCACAGGCCATATAAAATAGATTTAATATATTTACACATTCAAGACTAAATACCCCTGCGGCAGCAAACCTACAGGCTTAGCGAATTTCCATTTGCCTGATTGGATTTACACTAAAATGTCTCCTTAAAAATATCACATTTATTCCCTATTTAAACAGAATTAGTTTAACGAGTACTTAGGTTTGCTGCAACAGGGAGGGTAAACAAGTTTTTTTTTTAAATTTAAAATGTTAAAAGGTACTGTAGTTTAGTAAGAAATTAATGTATTTTCCAAATGTTATCAAAATATGTTCATAAACAAGCAAACTACAACAGTTGACTTATTTTCCATAAGAATAACACGGGAAATTGACAATTAAAATTTTTTTTAATTTTATCCGTAGCAATTAGGCGCATAA